TTATCCGTGGTCATAGCCTTGAAGGTTACATTCTGGGAACAAAGCTGTGTCCACTAGAATTTATTGGAGCCGAAGTTGCTAGTGAAAGTGGAACCAGCATCGAAATGACAAGAAACCCTAAGTATAATCAATGGATATCAACAGACCAACTGCTAATGAGTTGGCTTTATTCCTTAATGACCCTAGACATAGCCATGAGAGTCATGGTTGCTAAGACCTAAAATGAGCCGTAGACAGTTGTGAATGGGAGCTATGGAGTTCAGAACAGATCCAAGATCATATTCCTTACTGGTGAAATTCAAAAGGAAAGAAAATGAACTATGAATATTGATCAATACCTGAACAAAGTAAAGCTACTAGCAGATAATTTGGAAATTGCTGGCAAAACTATCCCTCATTCTGATTTGACCACTCAAGTCCTAGCTGGTCGGATGAAGACTATACTCCCATTGTCGTTCAAATCAACGGCAGAGATAGCATCTCTTAGGGTGAACTGTAATCAACATTGATGACCTTTGAAAGTAGGCTAGAACATCTCAACACAATAAGAAATGAAATGGATGGAATTACCTTGATCACACTTTAGTAAATTTCTCTCAGAGGTCAGGCTCAAATTATCATCACTTCAGAAATCATAGGCCAATCTCCAATGGAAGATTCTTTAGCCACTTCCTAGGTAGAAGAAAAGGTAGAAACAGATGAGCAACCTTTAATGAGACAGACCTAGCTGCCAAGTGCATGGAAAAAATTGGACATAAGGCAAATATTTGTAACTTCAGCTATGATGAGAGGTTTACAAGTGCACTACCAAATCAGAGAACATGCTACAATCCCTCACCAGCAACCTTTGTAGCATCACCTAGTACCGTGAATGACCGTGCTTGGTTTCCTGATACTGGTGCTAGCAAAAATATCACTGCAGATAAGCAAATCTTACAGAAGCAAATGAGTACACTGATAAGGAAGAAATCATGGTTGGAAATGGTAATAGACTGCACATTTCACATTTTGGCATGACTTATCTTCCCACCTTAAATAACCAACCACTTGTATTAAATAAACTGCTGCATATACTTGAAATTCAGAAAAATCTCATCAGTGTTTCCCAATTAACTTCTGATAACGATGTTTACATGGAATTCTATTCTAACTGTTGCTTTGTCAAGGACAAGCTGGCGAATGAGGTGATTCTGCAAGGGAAGCTTAAAGGAGGACTGTATCAACTGGACTTCTCTCACCAAAACACCAAATATCGCTCTCAATCACTTGCTATCTCAAATAAACTTTTCTGCAACACAATGTCACTTAGTCTTAGTCTAGAGTCTAGTCAAGAGTCCTTGAATGTTTAAGCTAATGTATAGCATAAGAGACTTGGACATCCATCTAGCCAAGTAATGTCTCAAGTGCTCAAAACTTGTAATTAAAGGTTAAATGAAAATGAAAGCAAATCCTTCTGTGATGCCTGCCAATTTTGTAAATCCCATCTGCTGCCTTTTGCTTCCTCATCTTCACACGCCAAAGTACTTCTTAAACTTGTGCATACTGACCTATGGGGACCAGCACCAATCTAATCAGTTTCTGGCTTCAAATACTACTTAACATTTCTAGATGATTTCAGTAGGTTCACTTGGATCTACCCTCTAAAGCAAAAATCTGAAGTACTGAGTGTTTTTGTTCAATTCAAGAAGCCAGTTGAAAACAAGCTTGCAAGGAAAATAAAAACACTGCAAGCTAACTGGGAAGTCTTCAAAATCTCCTAACCCAAGAAGGCTTTGAATTTAGACATACTTGTCCATATACATCAGCTCAAAATGGTAGAATTGAAAGGAAATACAGGCATATAACTGAAACAGGTCTCACCCTTTTAGCTCAAGCCAAAATTCCCTTGAAATATTGGTAGGAATAATTTCAAATTGCGACTTATCTTATTAATAGAATGCCTACACCTATGCTCAAAATGCAGTCCCCCCTCATGGCCCTATTCGAAAAGAAACTGATTACAAGTCCCTAAGAATTTTTGGTTGTGCCTACTACCCTTGTCTTAGACCTTACTAGAAGCACAAATTTAGCTTTCATTCAACAAAATGTGTCTTCATTGGCTATAGTGAATCTCACAAAGGATATAAATGCTTAAACTCAACAGAGAGAATTTATATTTCAAGACATGTTGTGTTAATGAGCTTGAGTTTCCCTTTGAGTCATTATTTTCTGTTCAAAATCAACAAAACTCTGTGATACTAGAATCTGTGGTTTCCTACTTCCGATTTCCACATCAGCCAAACAATACTGAACCTACCTCATGTCCTGTTGATGCAACTCTTTCTAAAGCTACCAATGATGTGCATCACACACCCTCCAGATCAAGTAATAGTGGAGATGAAAATAGAAGTGATGATATGATCAGAAATATGAGCAACCAAGTGGTAAGTCAAGATGAAGAAACTGAACTTGAGTTGCCACAGAATGATGAAAATGCTGAATCAGACTTCACAGCTAATCAGCAACAAGCCAGGGACTTAATAGAACACCCTATGATCACAAGAGGAAAGGCTGGAGTTTTTAAACCTAAAGTACTTCTCAGAACCAAAAAGTGTGGATGAAGCTATGATGAGCACAAAATGGAAGAGAGCTATGGAAGAAGAATTCAACGCTCTAGTAAAAACGAAGACCTAGAAGCTGGTGCCACCATCACCAACTTACAACATAGTGGGAAATAAGTGGGTCTTCAACGTAAAACACAACACTGATGGATCTGATCAAAGACCGAAGGCGAGGTTGGTACCTAAGGGCTTTTATTAGAACCTGGAATTGATTCTACGAAACCTTCAGTCCGGTGATTAAAGCATAAACCTTAAGAGTCATACTAGCTATAGCAGTCTCAAAGGGATGGATAGTCAGACAAGTTGATATCAATAATGCCTTCTTGAATGACAAACTTTAGGAAGTGGTATATATGAATCAACCAGAGGGCTTTATAGATTCATCAAGACCTGATCATGTTTGCAAAATAGAAAAGATACTTTACGGGTTGAAGCGGCACGTAGGGCTTGGTATGACAAATTGAAGTCAACACTGATGAACTGGAAGTTTAAACAATCAGTAGCCGATACATCACTGTTCTATTTTAAAAATAAGAAACAAGTCATTTTTGCGCTCATCTATGTAGATGACATTGTAGTAACATGAAATGATACTAAGCTGCTGCAAGGATTCATAAATGAACTAAACAAAAGATATGCACTCAAAGATATGGGACAACTTCACTGCTTTCTCGGAATCGAAGTACTCTGGCATGACTTAGGTTTTCTCTTGACACAAGCAAGATATATTGCTGAACTACTAAGGAAATTCGAACTGCAAAATCTGAAGCCACGTCCAACTCCCATTCTAGCAGGCAAAACCATGTCAAAGGCTAATGGAGAACCATTGAAGAATCCCTCAATTTACAGAAGTGCAATGGGAGGACTGTATATCTCTCTCATATTAGACCGGATATCACTTTTGTTCTGAATAAGTTGAGTCAGTTTCTATAGTCCCCAACATTTATTCATTGGCAAGCATTGGAAAGGGTACTTAGATACCTAAAGGGAACTATAAATCAGGGACTTTGGATACAAAGAAGTGATAGACTTGATTTAAAAGGACACTCAGATGCAGACTGGGCTTCCTGCCCGGATGACAGAAGATCAACTGGAGGACATTACATCTACTTAGGAGAAAATCTTGTTGCTTGGTCTTCAAGAAAGCAACACGTAGTTGCTAGATCAAGTACAGAATTGGAATATAGAGCCCTTGCTTCAGCAACCTTAGAAATAGCTTGGATTCAATCACTCTTTAAGGAACTTGAAGTGTCACAAGTATCAGTTCCAATCCTATGGTGTGATAATATGAGCGCTAGTGCCTTGGCAGCTAATCCAGTGTACCATGCGAGAACAAAGCATATTGAATTGGACATTCACTTCATCAGAGACAAAGTTCTTGGGAAAGAATTAGAAGTCAAATATGTACCCTCCTCTGATCAAATAGCAGAATTGTTAACTAAATGTCTCACTCATTCAAGGTTTCTCTTCTTGAAAGACAAGCTTGGAATCATTTCATTGCCTTCCATCTTGAAGGGGGGCGTCAAGAGTTAAAGATTAATTCCAGCAGCCACTTCACCATTCACGCTGCCAACTAGAATCCTTGCTGGAGATGCTTATGTTATCACAAATGCTAGCACTATCTGCTGTTGTAACTTTATTCCAACATTCCCCTTGAATTAAGGAACTAACAATCCTTTGTACATTCTAGAATATTCTCCTTGTAATTATTTATACACCATTAATGCTGAAGCAATAGATTTTGAGCTGAATTATTCTCTCATTGTCTTGTTTTTCAACTAATAGTAATTTTTTGGAGAATGTGTGGTTTAAAAGAAAAAATGAAAAGTTTTTGAATTTACGTTTAATATTATTTCATTATAGAATGTGTTGTTGATAAGAAGAGAGAGAAAAATGAATTATAATTTAATTTCTTGCTAGATCAACTCCGAAATCCAGAACCAGATCCATGGGGAACTGGTTGGTGTAATATCAGGAAAGATAAGAATTATATGTGAAATTGTTCATTCAGAATTTCAGGAGCTTATCTCAATGTGTCGTGGTACTAATGAGATATCAAGAGACGACTGTTGGCAAAAATCCCGCAAGTGTACGGGTTCGTCCCACGGGTAATAATGCTCAATTTTAATGTATTCGATGTATTTAAATTCGCAAGTGTAACAAAAGATAAATGGATTGAATTTAACTACGTTTTATAACTACGA